TTCCTGAAAATAGAAATACGATAAATAAGATAATATGAATGGGGGAGTCCGACTAAAACCTTTTCCTGTAATTGGCAGCAAGCCCACAAAGGGAATAAATTAGATTTTGTTTACATGTACTATTTAATGAACACAAAATACACAACATTCTGAACACAAAAGACGGGACGGTAACGACGTGTTCCAACGTTGTAACATCCTATTTAAGTTGGTGGCTGTGGGACAGACGAGAGTGTAAAGAGATAAGACGTTAAACCCAACCTGGTATCCTGACATATATAATTTAGCTGCATCCAAGGCACTGCAGTGGGTATCCCTAAGACCGGTCTTCGAACGGCTCTTTCCCGGGGAATCATCCGCCTCCAGCCGGTGACGCCGAGCTGTGAACTGCAGTCTCAAGTTGAGGGCGAATGAGGTTCCGCCTCCGGCTCCGCACTGGAGAAGACGGTGGCTCCGACTTTCAAAGGCCTCGATCGACTTCGATGTTCGAATTCGATTGTAACGAGGGAGTAGAACGTGGTGACGGCACCGATAAAATGCCAAAGATTCCATTCGCCTGTACTATTGATAAGTCCGTTTTGATATTATTATTAGAATTCAAATAACTCAAAAAATCGTATTATGAAAGTCTTAGAATTTTAGGGAATTGCAAACATAACGTTAACACGATTTAAGTTGTGACAGCTCTAGTTCGTTAATAATTACCAAAACGTCACCGTAATCACCATAAATATATAAACTATAGTGAATTAATATGCAAATTTATGTAAATTCAGTTCGATTCTCCTGTACACTACCATCGAATTCAAATCACGAGAGAATGGACACTCCGGAGGGAGGTTTGCGTATTATTGGTGACATAGTAATTTTGATTCATGGTCAAGATCTAAAGGAACTGAGACTATTGGTTCGTTAAGTTTTTCTGTTGTACATAAATTTCATGGGTTAGAAATAAACTTACACGGAGAATTGGACTACTATAGTAATTCACCCCGATTATGTCATTATCCATAACTGTTTCAGATTTTTTTGACTAGTTGAGTTGACCAGTTTGAAATACAAAGAATAACAGATTTCGTAAATAATAAAAGTAAAATGGGAGAGTCGATAAGTCACACTGCCTAACTCCTTGTCGCCCACAGGTCTTCGACGTCTCCTGAAGTCCCTCTTGTTGTAGCACACTACCTGCAGGACAGACACCAAAACCTCTCCTGACTCCTAGCGTGGCCTGGTCCGGACTCCCTCCTCGGGTACGTTCCCGTTCGAGCTAATGGTTGACGTTGACCGGATTCAGACAGTGAAATAAACGATTTACACACAATGACAACACCTATGTAGAATTATCCAATGTGGATAGACAGGTATACACGAAATATAAATTTTGTACAAAAACAATTGAAAACCAAGTGTAAAGTTAATTTACATAAACATAACGTGAGAAAACAGGTAATAAGAATGACTTTTACCATCTAATGTGTAAGTGTAGACTACTTCTATCCGGGGTAAATAAACACTGTAACGTTTGAGACGCCATGTTCCCGTGTTTCAACTACACTACGAGTATTTCGCTCCGGTTTATCTTTATTAGTCGACATCTACACCTTTATCCACGTAAGGTAGTCGACTGACAAAAATGTTATTTTCATCAAAGAAACACATGACGCAGAATTTTAGAGTGCGTAGCGAAATTACACCCGGAGAACCTACAAGAGAACTGGAGTCTCTTCTCTTTTACAACACAGAAAGTCCGTACAGAGAAAGGAATTGTTTTTCCCAACTGTCCCCTTGTAGTTTTGTCAAATAACGTCTTGTTCACGACAATTAAAGTACTTTCGCCACACAAAACAACACAACATCCCCGACATCCATATTAAAAACATTAACATTACAAAATAAAAATAAAGTGTCACTCGATGTTTCGGGGTATTTTATTTGTAAATTACCCTTATAACCCAGCCTCATGGTGCACATGATTCTTTGCTTGGACATTTTGTTGGTTTGAGTCATTTGAGCTCGGATTCTAGTAGGGACATAAAGTAACACGTATTTTAGGAAGATATGAACTTCATCTTGGTGAAGTTGATGCTGAATTCACTATTTAGTAGATAATCATGTGACACTTTATCTTTGCACTACGGTCTGTCTGCTGAGCCTACCTATTATATATATATCATGTACAGCGGGTGGGCTTTATACCCCCTCCCCCGTGTAGTTCTTCTTCTCTCGTTTTTTTTTGTACTCGCCGTGAAGTGGTTTTGCGGCCTGCCAGTAAACCCAGAGAAGAAGAAGACGAAGTGACGTCAGCGTAATCTTGCCTCAGGGAAAGTACTGCGATGTGAATGCGATTGGCACTAGCCCCCTGGCGGATTCAGTGCCGTGGTACTTTAGTGCCGGCACTAAAGTACGGCAAGTCCTGCGGTGTGAAAGCGGCTATTTATTTGACAAGGGCAGGAGTGGGTGCGTTTTCTACTTCAGGATTTGTGAAGAGAAACAGGATTGGCACACGCAAACAGCCACATCATGTTCAAATCTGTATTGTTACTGACTTAACACCGCAGTATAGGAACATCCAATCAATAAAGTCCTCACACATTGTTAAACAATCCTACCTTTAAATCAAAGCATATGTCATGATTATATATTGTCATTTCAATGTTCCTATGTCCAATTTTGATGTAGCTAGAAGGTTCTTAGTATTTATCGTAATATTTTTACATCACTTCCTACAAAATATCTCCTCAGTGGTCACACACACACAAACCCACCTACCCAGCAAATGCAGTGAGGGCAGCACACGAGTAAGGGGCCCAAGAGATGACGTATAGCAGGATGACGATGAGTGCGATCTTTGCCATCTTCCATTCAGTCTTCATCTTATTGAACTTCTTTGCAGAGTCTCTGGTTCCCTGACAGTTCATCTGTGTTATCGCTCTGTCAAACACAGACACATTAGTAATAAAGCTTTATTTTGAGTTACAATATAATTTGTATTTTTAAATCAAATGTGGCATTTTTTTCAGAAAAACTGTATTAGATTTAGCTTTATAGTTTATTTATTTGGACATTTTGAATGACAGTTATTGTACTTGCATGCACAAGTGACACATTTTTAATCAAAAAGACATCAATATCAACACAATGCTTGTGTTTTATCAATGCATGTGGAAGTCTTTGTCTGCCTTATTACAGGAAAATCAATGTGTGCATGTACAGACCTGGTTGTGTGTCGGATGGCTCTGAAGATGCAGAAGTAGCTGAAGATGATGATGAAGAGAGGGATGAAGAAGACGAAGATAAAGAGCAGCATGGTGTAGGAACGGACAGAAGGAGTAAATGTCATGTAATCCCAGGAACAGGACGTCATCAGACCTTCTGGGACATAAGCACCTGTGGGAGAGGAAAACACATTTTATTGAATCGGACAATTTCTATTTGTCTGGGATTCCACCAAGTGACACGTAGTAGAGCATTTTGATAAAAATCCATATTCTTTCTTGTTAAGATTTACAATATAAATGCTACTTCAAAAACTCTCTGTTGAGTATAAAGCTACAGCCAGGAGACGGTTAGCTTAGCTTAGCTTAAAGACTTGAATGAGGGGTAAATAGCAAAAATAAATGAAAACTATCCGTTTAAATTGGTTCATAATGCTCACGACAGTGCAAGGGATTTAACTTGATGGAGTAACCCAGGGCTCTATGCTCGGTCCTTTACTGTTCTCTAGATAGTCTAGAGACTCTAGATAGTCTAGAGACTCTAGATGCTGCAATCCAGGTACACAATACACAGACATTGAATACATTGTATTCAGCTAACTTTAGTTGTATGTATCCTCTATTGTAAAAAACAACAACTTGACGACCTTTGTGAGGGTCTACATTTTGTCATTGAGTGCAAAATTGTAGTTTGAATAAATGACAATTCCCAATACCTTATCTTTTGTTGTTTTAGTCGAACTTAGTGTCACAACACAGGTTTCTTTGGTGAAATGACTGGTTGTATGGTCAAAGAAACATTATTATCATCTCTCAATTAAAATTAAAATTGACAAAATGTTACTGTCAACTGTTTGAGTTTAGTTAACAGGGAAAAAAGTAGAACACATTTTTGCTGGATGCTGTCAACAACAAAGCACATCCATCAAAACAAAAAAAAGCCCAGTAGGACAGAAAGACCCCACAACATCATTAATCATTGTAGGACCATCATTTCTATATCAGCTGACCACTTGATCATCCTTCTAATAACTGAATTCATTTAAAATGTTTTTTAAATGTAGTTGGCATGTTGACAAATGTAAAGTGAGATCTATTTGACATGGCAGTACAACTTTCAGCAGGAATTTGACAAACTGACACAAATAAAATCATTGAGAGAGAAGTTCTAAAAAAGAAATCCCCTTGATGATTCATACTGATCGACAAAGACTCTCCCTCCAGGCTTCTGGTTGCAGTTGTACTTACTCCAGCCAAAGAAGGGGGGCAGGCTCCACCCTGCGGAGTAGACCCAGGCAGCAGCCAGGATGCACAGGGCTTTCCTGCGAGACATCCCCCCCAGGGAGGCCAGAGGCCGGGTGATCACTACGTACCGGTCCACCGCAATCACCATTAGTGTTATCATACTGCAGATACCAAACAGCGCTCCGCAAAAGGCGTATATTTCACAACCTTAAGGAGGAGAGGTGAAGTAGTCAAGAAGTAGAGAGGAAAGACAATCGTGACAGCAGCAATCAGGATACATCTATTTTCTGGCAGATGATAGCTCTTTAAGAGTTTTGGACACATATGTGTTTCATCATGTCAGAGCAATAACAGATGTTTTGGTATTCTTTGCTAATTAAATAGTACAATGATGCTGCATATAAATTATTGATAATTTTCAACGTGCACACAATGCACCAATATGTTGCAGAAATTAGCATTTTTGGCAAGAACAAAAACACTCAATAATCATTTGAGTGTGAAATTACCTCTGACCGGACACATTTAATCATGCCATCAAGTCATTACAAGCAAGAACAAGACAGAATCAGAAGTGTTTTGTTAATAAATTAAAACAAATACCGCTCAGGCGGGTTAATGTATATCGCAGCACCTTCATGATCTTCTTTCTGACTGTGTGTGTTTGACAGCCATTGTTAAGTCTCTGAAGAAAATAGAGTCCTGTTTGGCTCCCAGGGAACACCAGGCTTTCTCCAGAGAGAAACAACAATTTAAAGTCCTACGGCATTTTGTCAAAAAGAAAGTTCACTGCATTTGTGTCCATTAACTACAGTATAACAAGTGTAAAACATTTCAGATATTGAAAAATCCTGCAATGACCTGCAATTCATTTTAGGAAAAACTAACCAATCATCAATCAGTTTTAATCAGCACAGAAACATAGATGAAGAAAATAAAAAAATAATATTTTTGATGAATCTTTCCGCATTTTTTCCCGGTGTTTAGATTTGACGGGCACTTTTTAAATGATGTCCTCTCATGTTCCCTCTTTTTCTGCAATGGCTTAATGGAAGCTGACTGGAGGATTATAGCCACCATAATGTTTATCTCCATGCACCCTACTTCTAATATGCTCGTGCATGGAAATTAGATTACAAGAGTACAACGAATTGCAGTTTGCATCCAACCAGAAGGTGCATAGAGTAGTAAAGTGCATGAGGTAACAATATATGCATACATTCAACACCTTATTGCTAAAGTGTTCTTGCACGTTAACTCACTCACTTTATTTCAAATCTCCAAGCGATTTGAAATAGAACCTCTCATAATTACACCACGCTCAAATATTCTATTTCACTCTAAAATACTTCATATTTCAGAAGCTAAGAATGTTATGTCACTCTTTTAACATCTACATCTCACTGCCTGTGTGTCTTTTTAAAAGAATAGGCAGAAGAAATGGGATGTCAAGGTTGTAGGGAGGTTGGTTGGAAGAAGAAAAGGAAAGAGTTGTCTTGCAGTAACAACCATTGAGAGTTGAGCTGCAGATCTGACAGCGGTGAAGGTCAGGACAACTCCTGAAGGAAAACGCTGCGCTCCATCAGTGTTTGATCAGTGGATCGCTGTGCTGCTGTTACCACCTCTTCATCTCCATTCCCTCTAGGTTGCATGCCGATGTACTGTATAATGCACCACTGGTACAACATCCTCGAAATGCACTCATAAAACATACAAGCAACATGCATTATTGCTGGCTTTGTGATCAATGGAATTTTGAGATGCTGCACAAAAGGGTGAAAAAGAATGGCAGGTTTGTGTGCAGAATCTCAATTGAACTGCGCGTCACACAATAGGGTACGAAACCAATACATGTTCCTTGTGGAAATCCAGTGTGATCATAAATATAAAAGATGTGTGGATTTGTGTGTACATGTACATGGTGAATCATAATACTGTGTTGAGGTCGTATTTGTAACTGCACGGTATTTCAAAAAGATAAGTGTCAAATGTTAAATGTATTTGTTACCTTTCTTTCCAAAGATCCATCGCTTGTGCATGCTGTTAATGAAGAAGGTGGGTGTCTGAGTAACACACATCAGCAAGTCTGTGATTGCCAGGTTAATGATGAAAATGTTGGACGGTGTCCGCAAACTTCGGCTCCTGAACACAGACACACACACAGCTGTGAAGTGGTGCTTAACAAGTCTATACAATAACATTGTCTACAACAGCAGTAGAAAGCTGTTGTACCTGCAGAAAGCATATATAACCAGGAGGTTTCCCAGCATGCCCGTGATGCCAACGATCAGGATGACCACACCAATGGTGTAGTGAGCGTGGGCGGGGACGTCTACCGTTGGAAATGGGTGGCTTGTAACCATGGGACCCTGGCAACAGGAAAACAGGGGTTAATTTATGGCGTTAAATAATGTTATCAAGTCATGATCAAGAGCAACGTCAGTACAAAAACAATTCAGCTTTTATTGCAGTTCTCATAATCTGACAGACGGCACATAATTAAATTAAAAAGGACAATAAAAACGTAAAATAGATATTGGGATGACAAATTGAAATTGTGAATTAGCCACAACATGTACATGTATGGAAGCATATTGTAGCCATGATGATAAATATATATGTTTGATAAGCTCTTTGTTAATACAAGATTGTTATTTATTTTATTTAATCAAAATATATTTTCATGTTGATTTATTTTCTTGTTATTGCTAGAATTTTACAGGAGATTTTTCATTTTAATGTTCACATTATTTCACAAGTAAACATTATGGTAGCTAACCCGTGCAAATTGTCAAACAAAATTGTATTAGCTCATTAGCAGTTTTTGAGTGATAGTCGACATTGACAACTTTCTAATCACAGAAGCTGAACAATGCTTGGGTCTCAGCTGTGTGCATCCCTTTTTAGTTTCCCCGTTTCCGTTGTGTTTGGAGCTTCTTGCAGATTTTTTTTTATTTTCAGCATTTTGTATTTGCAGTGTTTTATTTACGCAGAGATTTTAGTAAATTCTGTGCATGTTTCGTAAAGTTGGTGAAGAAGTTTCTTAATTTGAACACGCACATTTGTGTTCATTTATTTGCATCGTTTTTGAAACTGCAGCGCGTTTTTCCAAATGAAAATGTTTTGCCATGTTTACCCCTGTCGGCCACCGTAAAAATAGCCCATGAAAACAAGTTGTTGCTGTTACTGTATACCATTAATATTAACCGTTTTTCAAGAAGATTTCAACTTAACAGGTGATAATATGACAATGTTTTGCTAACACAAAGTGGCCACAAATTATCTTATATTGCAGGTTAATTGTTTTTATTTAAGAATTACATTTTTAATGATACATTTCATGTTTTTTTCTGCTTTCCATTTCATTTGACAGTAGAACAATCAACATTTTTTTAAATTTAATTATGGCCTGATGGGTTTATTTTCCTTGAATGAATCCTTTAAATTCAGTCTAGAGCCCATACACACAACAAATACAAATACATTCTCATCAATCATTTAATAGTATTTAAGTATAACATTTAAGCTATTAATAATGTTAGAGTGTACTATTATTATGTTGGAGTGAGTGTTATTATGAGGGTTACATTTGCAGTTAGATTACTTCAATCAGCATAATACAAAAGTATCCACTCTGAAGAGTGTATCCTATTTCAATAGCTAAGAAAAGATAGGAGCATTTCTTTCACGTTTTATGCTCCAGTAAATTGTAGAGTTCAGAAGGTCATGAAGAGATTGACTTCTTGCAGTGGCGTAACTATCGACGGTGCAGCCGGTGTAACGCACCGGGGCCCAGAGCCGGCAAGGGGCCCATGCAAAAAATAAAAAATATTTCTGTCCAATGACCTTGCTCCCTTTCATGTCATGTGATACCTTGCGTGACGAGCGAACCGTTTAATCAACCTGTACTGTACTGTAGTTAGCAGCAGCAAGTTCGGCAGCATTATTAAAAATGTAATAGCTTGCATTTATAATGTACAGCAAACCAAAGAGCAGCGCTCAAAAGAGAAAGGACAAGAGAGAACATGGAGATGTAACAGCTAAACTGACAAAATTAGACCATTTTTTTGTCATACATCGTCCTCGAAATCGAGTGCTAACGTTAGCAATGTTGAAGTGCAGCGGCAGCCAAAACAATATTTGGACCGGGGCCAATCACAACCTTGTTACGCCACTGTCTTCTTGCATTGTCTGTCAGCAACAAAGAAATTAGAAGGTCACGGCACGGCTTTCTTCAGCTTACAGTTTTTATGAATTGGAAACGGGTTTGAGAAGGACACATTTACACAAAACAATGAGTAAAAATAGCTTTTCATGAGCGGAGCAAAGGAATACCATAGTGGAAAAATACTCTTCTTATACAGATGTAGCGATTCATTTCAGACAGTTTGAAACGCAAGGGCCGTGATTGGTGCGTGATCTGCCCTCGCTCAAGGGAAAACCTCCAGCTTGACTTGAGACCGCCTCCGTGATAGATAAATGTAATTATAATGAAGCCAGCTGCAATGGATCATTGATCCACCAGGGGGTGCAGTGGGGTTCCACACTGGAGCTCATGTGAAATAAAGTCAGATACAGTACGCTGGATGTACAGCGGAACTTTGTTAAGATCCATATGTCACGGATATCATACTCTGTGCTAAATAAGAGACATGTAATCATTTACAAACATCCAGATGTTGTTAATTTAACAAATAACCGTTGTTTAGTCACAAAAACGACAGGAGGAATGCAGCGCGCTCTCGTTTTTAATCCTAACCTTTAATCATCATCTTCACCACGATCTTCTATGTTCTGTTCGCCGAATTGACCTAATCACGACACATTAATGAACCTACTCGTATTTCAACTTCCATTAACACGTTGTATTAACACGTGCACACCT